ATGTATAGCTAAGTCCTGCTTTCAAAGAAGAATGGTTTCATCAAATTAGACATGTTAACAAATTACCAGGTATTATGAAGTTAGACATGCTAAAATTTACAGTAATTTTATCATTTTAAATGGCATAAATGAAAATCAGAAGGGGAAAATCTTTACAGAATTTGTAAAAGGTCAGAATTCTTCAGGTACAGAAATGGATAGCTTCAATTTATGCCTGTGTATTTGCACATACAGTCACTAGAACTGACTGATAGGATATTAGGACAAAAAGGAATTAAGTACATGAGCAGTAGTTGTTACTCATTTTATAAATCTACTTCTAAAAATTTTTACTTGAAACAGAATTTATATAGAAAGATTCCTACATCTTTTATTCTGCATGGATTTAAATACAAATTATAGTGGGACCAAGTGAGTGCTTTCATTAAAATAAATAGTTATTTTTAAGTGTGTTTTATGTAAGTATATATAAATTACACTTATAATTTTATACTTTTAGAAAACTTCATGATCACTATAAAACAGTGATCTATAGAATCATTTCCTAGCACACTGCAAATTACTTGTTTTTATAATTACTCTTAAGGTTTTCACAAGCCACTCTATTAAGAAAATTCAAAGCTTTTGATATAAAAGGAGGACTCTGCATAAGTGCAGGTGTGCATAGGTGTTTCTGTTTTCTGTAGGGAAAACTCAGTTGAAGAAGCTGATGTGCTTCTGGCCATTAAGTTGCTGTTGCAGAACTTCTTTTCCTGTTTATTTTTGCTCATAAGACATTGGGAGATTCTTCCCACAACCTGTGAACTTGCACACTTTCTAAATAATTTAAAATCAAAATCATACATTGATGAAAGCTGAACTCAGATGCTAAACTTTCTAGGAACAACATAGTTCCTTCTTGAAGCTGGTCAGTCAAAAAATATCAGGCACAATCTCAATATTTTATTCTAAAATGTAAGTCCTTAAAATTATTTATGTGTTCTGAGTTAAAGCAGCGTCTACAATGCACATTACATTACATAAACATCTTTTTTCTTCCTCTTCAGGAAATGCTTGATATCATGAAAGCAATATATGATATGATGGGGAAATGCACCTATCCTGTTCTCAAGGAAGACGCACCTAGACAACATGTGGAAACATTTTTCCAGGTAGGTCGTGTAACGTAGAAGCCAAAAAGACTGCTCTGTGAGCAGGTAGAGGAATATTTTCCATGTTATAATAGTTTTACATAGCCTTCCAATTCTGTAATCCTTTTTTTCCTCTGCGGTTCCATCCCAAGTTTCTCAGATCTACTCGTTACACCTTGCTTTTTCAATAAGCTCCTTAAGCTTATTCCAGTTTTATCACTTACTACGTCTTTTGGCATGGTTGTTCCTTGGCTGACATATAACTGAAATGAATAATAAAAAGGACTTGTTTTACACAGGATTTCAGGAGGAAAAATGTACATTTTATTTTTTTTAACAGAAAATGGACAAAAACAAAGATGGAGTAGTGACCATAGATGAATTCATCGAGAGCTGCCAGAAAGTAAGTATTCCGTGATAATTACTGAATGTGTGTCTGTTGGCTAATGCCATCAGTGCTACAGAGATTTCTGGAGTGCCAGTGAGGGTAATCCTAATACCAGAGACAGCATTTTCCCAAGGTAGCGTATGTATGTACACCATTACACAGGTACACTAAAAGTCTCAATAAATTTCTGACCTGAATCTGCAGAAGAGCTGGTATATACAAGCTGTCATTGCTCATTGCAAAACTGTGCCAATATGCCTCCTCTTTTCAACAATGTTTTTTTGTACTTGATAGCAAAAATTTTTTTCACATTTAGCTAAATACTTATTTCTGTCTTGTGCCCATGCTGGGGCACACAGTCCTGTTACAACTGGCATATAGTCACAGCAATACTAATACTGCCTGAAAATTTATCATCTATAGATGAGTTTCTCAGTGAGTCATGATGTACTTATAAGCAGTGAGGCCTTAAAAGGAGAGTGCAAAGGCCTTGCTAAGTGTTGGATGGCAAGAGTTAATACCAGGCAAGTTTTCTCAAGGCAAGAGATTGAGAATTGATTGTGATTATCAGTTGCAAGTGTTTATATTACAGCTGGGCAGCCGAAAGCAGCTCCTGGCCTCTAGAAATAGGGTTGAGAATAACTTCTGCAGCAGGAGTTACAGCCTGCTTTCACTCCTCTGCCCTTCAGCTTGTTCTCAGATTAGAAGACAGTATGAGGAAAGATAAGTCACATTTTTAGAAATTTAAGGAACTCCTGTTATAAGAAGTTATAGTAGTGTTCTACTGATACCTTGTCCAGACTGATTAATATGAAGCTGAGACCAGCAATATAGCCTCTGCGCATTGATCCTTATCTGTCACACCAAGAAGAGAGTAGTAAAGACACAGAAGAAAACAAGACTATCAAGACAAATGAATTTAGTGAATCAGTTTTTTAACTACTTGGAGTAGGGAAAGCTCTAGATGCTCAAAGATTCTCTAGAAACAGTCTATTTTTATATGCATCTGTAGTTATTCATTAGAGTTGCTCTTATAAGCACAGCTACCTAGTAAGTGATTCTTTCTTTGATTTTAATCCACTGATTTTGGAGCATGACAGACAGCCAACAGCTCTGCTAACTGTGGCTGTTCAGTGTTACCTTAGCAATGGGCATTGGGTAGTGTCTCATCTGTCAGCACTGACCATGGCTCCAGCTTTTCAGTCCTGTTCAATACAAATGAAAGGTATTTGCTCTGCTAACACTGAGTGATCATCAGAAACAGAGATGAGATTAATTTCCCAGCTGAGGTCTGTAGCATTCTGGAAGTTAAATGACACATTAATCTGCACCTGGCAGCAATTATGGTGGTGGGCTGAGGGATTCATTTACAAAGAAAATAAATACCTTCGGTAAGGAATTGCCTGCTCTCCTGATCCAATGAGATTCAGATTCTCATGACTGTTAGAAGATTTCTTATTTACCTCTTCTAAGTACTCAGAATACATGTGAGAGAGAAGCTCTCCAAACTACTGCATGATAGAGACACCGTTGTCATCATGCCACTTACCTCACTTTCACTCGCTTTTAACTTCAAACGTGGCCATGTTTTGATGCAAAAAGAAAGCGTCTTGCTACCTAAATTTTTGTCTGCCTACTAAAAACTGTTATACTGTTAAGACTTCTGAGCTGCAAAGTGTGCAATTCATGTTTATATCAAGATTTGGTTTCAGAATTGAGGTTTGGGGTTAGAATTTATAGAATCATAGAATATTCTGATTTGGAAGGGACCCATCAGGACCATCACGTTCAACTCCTGGCCATGCACAGGACCCTTCCCAAGAGTAACACCATGTGCCGAGATTATTGTCCAAACGTTCTTGAACTGAAGATAGGCTTGGTGCTGTGACCAAGCACCAAGCTTTCCCTGGGGAGCCTGTTCCACTGTTCCACTTATGGTTAATGACCCTCCGGGTGAAAAACTGTTTCTTGATATTCAACCCAATCCTCCCCTGACTCAGCTTTATGCCATTTTCTTGAGTTCTGTCACTGGTCACAAGAGTGAAGAGATTGTTACTTGCCCCTCTGCTTCCCCTTGTGAGGATGTTTAAGAGCACAATGAGGTTTCTCCTCAGTCTCCTCTTCCCAAACCAAGTGACCTCAGCTGCAGTCATACAGCTTGCTCTCCAGACCCTTAACCATCCTTGTGGCCTTCCTTTGGATGCTCTCTAATAGCTTAATATCTTTCCTATATTGTGGCACCCAAAACTGCACACAATATTCAAGGTGAGGCCACATCAGGTCAGAGCAGAGCGGGACAATCCCCTCCCTTGACCAGCTGGCGACGCTTTGCCTGATGCCCCCAGGACACGGTTGGCCCTCCTGGCTGCCAGGGCATTGCTGATTCATATTCAACTTGCTGTCAGTATTTTCAGGATTGCATTTTTCACAAAGGAACATAGCTGCTTCCTTTAAAATGCAGCTGTAGGAAAACCTTTTCTTAATATCTTGATCGATATGAGACTGATCTGAAAAGGTAAGGTCAGAATCTTTAAACAGACCAGGAGTGTGTTCTGCCAGGGAAAGGCTGCAGAAGCCTTTTCTTTGAAGGCTGTCTCAGGCAAGAGTTGCCAGTTTCTGAGAACTGAAATTCCTCTACTTGGAAGCCAGGTTAGCCTCCTTTCACTGCTTGGTGCTGGCGGAAAATGATCTGACTCAGGTAGTGCCTCATATCTACAGCAGCACTGTGAAGAACAGAGGCAAAGGACTAACACATTCAGGGTGCATAGGTGAATGTCAGGGTGAGTGACACAGGTCCTTCTGATAATGATATAAAGGCTTCTGGGATAGGTATTTTCTGCAGGAGTAAGCCTTTCCATACACAATGCTGATGGTCTGGGCTACCCTGAAAACAACAAAGAAACCATCTCAAACCTAAGAAAAACTGGCTTACAGGTAGGTCAGATCTGTCAAAGCTCATTCATCCAGGTTTGTGCTTCATATGGACAATGTTTCATATGCACTAACACCTCCTTATGTCTTGAGTTAGGAATCATTAAACAAATCTGTTATGTGTAGAAAAATGTACTGAAAAAAGAGGCAAATGAAAAAGATACACTTGCCAATGAATTCCAAAGCAAGCATCTGCTTTTTTTTTTCCTTTTTTAAAAGATGGGAAAAAAAAGCTACTAAAACTTTTCATGTTCTAAATATTATGACAAGCCTGTATTTTCTTGTGAAGACTCTTCCCATTTGACTGACTAAGGAAGGGGCATTGAAAGTCTTCTGTAAAGAAACAGCCAACCTCAGAAATATGAAGCTGATTTTAGAAAACTACCAATTTCATTCATGATGATACACATATAATAAAATTGGTAAGAAGTGGCAAAGCACTTTGGAAATTCAGAGCATGTTATTTGTGTTGCCCATTCGCTGAGCTTAGTTGCCCATTTATATTAATTAAATGACAAATGATGCCAGTTAAACCACACTTCAACCTTACATTAATTAGTGATCTTGACTAGTTTATTGATATTTTAAAGCAATGCAGTGGGAAAAAAGCTTATTTTAACTTTCAGTAATTTCATATAGTAATTTTACCACACAAATTTTTAAGCATTAATCTACATATTTTTTTACATTACATATAATTGCTTCCATAAGTTATTTTATCAGTACAAAATAGTGCACAGATCATTTCTTACAGCAACATCACTTGAGATGGCATACAGAGTCAAAGATGAAAAACCCCACTGTTCATGTTTCATAACATAAATTAAGCAAATTACTCAGACCAGTCATTTTTACAAAGCAAATCACCCACTAGACTGAACAGTGAATAATTTAACTGGAAATTGATACTCAACATGTATTATTGGAAGATTTATGTACAGAAGTATCATATCCCTATCAGTAGTGGAGAATACTATGAGATAACCTCTGTAACAAGTGGGGTCTTTTAGGCATCTTTCATGAAACTTAGAAAAATAACATATCAAATTCAGGTTTTTTATTCACTCGAATTGATGTCTAAATTATCTCTCAAGAAAGTGCTTAAGGGTGTGCATTCAGATTAAAATATAGGCTCATTACAGTGAAGACCAACAAATGCTAAATGAGCACGTAATGAACTCCTGTATTGTGTATATATATTTTATATATGCCTTTTATGCAAGCAACTGTTGATCCAGAAATGCCAACAAATACAGGCTACTGCAAATACTACTCTTTCTTCTATACACTGAAATGTAAAGCTTACAAAGAAAAATACTTTTTGCTGAGTCCTGTGCTGAGAGTTATTTACTGATAAAAACTGGAATACAGAGGGATGGATGCATCACTAAGCATTATGCAAAACTTGGGAGCTGAAGATTTTCTTAAAACATTACCTAATGCAATCAGAAAGCAGAAGTAGCATTGGAAAGCAGTGACCATCTTTCAGTGTGAGCACACAGAAAATCTGAACTGAAGAGCTGAAGAGTGTTGTGATACTTGTCAAACTGATTGCCTCTTCAGTTCATGCAAAGAGGCACACTTGAATCTATTTGAGGTTAGAGTCATCCCTAGCTATGTAGCAGGCTGCCCTAGTATTGCAAAAAGGCTCCTGTGTACAATGCACGGAATTAGCAATTCCATGTACGGATTTGCATTTCAGATATAGCTATTCCATGAGTATGTATTGTCTAAATGTATTATTTTATAGTGGGTATAAACTGATAAACTCTGAAATACTGCAGACTTAATTTTCTTAACATGCTATTGTAGTCTCGACAGGGTAGTTTTGGTCTCGTTAATATATACAAAAACTTATTTAAGCACAGATCCATTAACAGCCTTTGTCTGCTAACAGTTTCTCTAAACAAGCTGAAAAAATGATGTAATTAACTAAAATACAGTTAGCTCCACACCCTGTCTGTACAGATACTGGCCAACTACATTTGTAATGGTGTATGATTTTTGGTTTTGTATTGTCTTTCTTTACAGGATGAGAATATAATGCGATCCATGCAGCTCTTTGAAAATGTGATTTAATGAAGACATTAGGTCTACAACTAATGGACAAATACGAGCTATTCTGCAACATTATCTAAAAGATGGATTTACCACTTTATCATAAATAAAGTTACTCAGCTTTACACTGAGACATGGATTATGCAAGTAAATTTTTTATTATAAACTCTTCCCAACAAAAAATTCTTTCTAAATTATAAAATTTAGCTCTTCGACAGTGGCTACTTAGTTAACAAGATTGTACTGAAAAATCAAGTTTTTACTCCAAATTAAAACAAAGTAAGAACTGACAGTATGCAGCTTTATTATCATTCCAAACTCTAGTTAAAATAGATACAATCACAAGGAGATTAAAAATATATTCTTAGTTTTGCTACTCATTTTTACTGGATTAATTCCAGGTGTTCAAGTGTATTTCTTAAATCTTAGCTTCTAATTTATACAGAGGCATTACCATGTATTTTCTTTTCCCAGTTCTATGGTGTAGTCCTCATTTTTGAATAACACTTAGAGTTAATGCTGTAATCAATGTGCAATGCACATTTCTGCAACTGCCTTCCACCTTCGACTAGCTTTTCTTTTCCAAAGGAAAAAAACCCAAACCTAACAAAATAGATAACTTGAGAAGAAGAACTGTTATAGAACAGAAACCCAAATTGCTTATAGGTAGGTTTATTCCCTAAAAAATATGAGCAAGCTTCTATCAATCAAACTTACCTAGTAAATCTGCGTTTGATTTATCACAACAGGAATACCAGACGTCGTACATACTGTATTTCTAATTCTTCTTGGATGTGTCTGCAAAGCTCTTAGCTTAAAATTAAGGATCTTCTGACTTCTAATTTTTCATGAAGAAACCTTAACTGGATCCTAACACTGTTTTCATAAGTACGTGTCTTTTTGCCTTTAATAAATAAAAAGGCATGAACTTCCTTCGAAACTTCCATCCCACTTCAATGCTGAGAATGAATATCCCTATGTAGTAACATCTACTAATAATGACTGATAGTCAGGCTAACATCTATTTCAGCTTTTTGTAATATCTGTAACTATGAAAAAAAATCAGGAAAAAAAGGAAACTTCAGCTATATATCATCTATATGTGATAAATACATTACATTTTTTTAGAATCATTTCTTCATTAAGATTGGAGCTATTTATTCTGAACCTAGAAAGATTTTTCTAAAAAATTATGCACCTAAAATGTAACACTGCCCCTCCATCCATGTATTTTTTAAGATATATTGTCCACAGAGTTTATGCCAATATTTTAAAATAGGTGAAATGCTATCAGAGATAGGCCAACCTTCATTGTGACATTGCTGCAGACAACGTGAATTAATGAAGTAGAAAGAACGTTGCAAGCATTCTTTTGTAAAAATAAATCAGGTATCTATTCTGGTGTAGAGATGGGATGTTAGAGGCATGTTGAAGGCTGCTCTGCTATCACCAGTGTAGGATAAGAGTAGTACAATACATGTACACCTGAAATCTGCTGTAACGTGTTTGTGTAAACTAAATGTGCACATTTTGTAAAAAAAAATAATAAAGTAAACATGAAATAAAAAAAGGATCATGATCAATTTTTTTTGAGTTGTTAAATACGTGTTGGCAAAATTGTTAACTGAAGAAATATAATTTAAAAAAAAAAAAGCCTAAATACATTTATCTTGACTTAGCACAGTTCTCATCTCAGCAGCAATCTTACCACAAAGTCCTGAGGTAAATTTCATTTAGTCAATCAGTAGTTATTTTAAAAAAAAATCTGAAATTGCTTTCACATGACAGACTTTTTTAATACTCTATGCATCAGTATCTTCTGATGACAAAAAAACCCCTTCCTTCCAACAACTTTAAATTCTAGAATTGATTTTCCCTCAGAGGAAAAAGTTTTGTGCAAATTTTGTTACTTCAGTCAGCTCTCCCTCACAGTATAGTGAAACACAACATGACTCTGAACGGCATTTATTGCAAGACCAGTTAGGAATTATTTTGCAGTCAAGTTCAAATACATTCATGAGCAAATGCTGCAACATACAAGGTTTGACAGAGAGGTAAGCTGGCTTCTGAAATCCTTTTTTTGTTTTTAACTCCTGTTTTTTTATAGCTTCCATGTTCAGAAGTTTATTAACTTGTCTAGACTGGAATTCACAAGCTAGTCCCAAGCATATCCGTGACGTTCCTGAACTCAGTGCAAAGGGACCACGGTGTAAATTCTCCAAAGTTGCCTCCTACCTCCAGCTCCCATTCAGCAGGCCCAAAGCTAACTGGAACTAATTAGCTGAGCAAACCCTAGGCTGTGGATCTGTGGAGCAACCCTGTATTTCCCCAAGCCTTCCCAGCACTCCAAAACTATAAGCTGAGAATGCACTGAGCAAGTTCAGCTTTGCACCGTATGCTCCTTGTTTGGTGTGTTCAGCTTCACACCTTGAAAAGCTGACTCTTTGAAGAAGTCTATGAGTGCTCACGGTTCTATGTCTAACCTAGTCCTGATGAACCTAAATGTGCCTGTCACAAAATAAGTCATATGTTTCAAAAGCAGGTATAAATATGTCATTTAACACCAAGTTAGTTACTATTTAAGTAATTACTGCCAAATTATTTTGCATCACACAAATACACAAAACATATTAAGCACTGCTGTTTCCAACAAAATAAGAATTAATATTTACTCTGCTTTTGAAACAATAGCAGGTTAATCAATGTCATTGTAAGCACAGTGCATATGCAAATATAGAGAGAAGTCTTCTGTAATTACATATTCACAAACTGATAAGACTCCCACTCTCCATCGCACTGAAGAGTTATGATTATTTTAAGAGAATATATCATACCCCAAATAAGTGTCAGTGATGTTCACCTTATAGCACAAATCACTAGAGTTTTCTTGTTCAGGGGGAGATAGAACAATAGGTTGGAATTTTAGATTTGATGATAGCCACAGTTGCCTGTTGAAGAAAACAAAGCAAAGTTAAGCAAAATAAGGAGCACTAGCACTAGTATGACAGTATTCATACAGTTTCTACAAATTGCATAATTCACAATGTTTACTTAGTGATCTTTGCTATTATGAGACAGAAAACTAAAAAGTTATTATTTGCTGATAAATTTACTGTCAAAAGGGCTGAAAATAATAAACTGAGAAAATGGACCATTGTGATAACTAATGCTGGAGAGTAAAATTCCAAGAGAAGGGACATGTAAACCCATACCTAAAACTGAGCATAAGTACAGACTTGAAACAATAAGGATTTTTAAACAGAGGAGTAATATTCTGGAAGGGACTTCTAATAAAAGTAAGAATCATACACTTTATAACTAATTTAGAATAGAAATTTGATCATATTGCTTGTAATCACAAGGAGTAATTTAGGAGTATCTTTAAAAGACACACAGAAAGGCCTACTCACAAAACAACAAGACAACAAGAAACCAGGGGATTGACAGAAGAGTTATGAGTTTAATGACTCACTGGATTAGTTACATCATCTAGACCTAAATTTTCAGAATAGCGAGATGAGAAATAATTTTTCTTTTCTTGTCTCACTTCATATAAATAAAAAAGCTCTCATCCTTCTTCATTTGTCGTTATGTTTTTTAAGTCTGTATTATGAACACTGCTACTGCCCTTAAATGAATATGAGCACACACACAAAATAATTCTGTCTACTGATTATTTGGGCACCTACTGATTAAGGCACACAAGCTCAGAAGTGGTGGACCTGTATTTATGGTCCCTACTCTTCAGGTTATTCCTATTTATTAATGACCATTGAATATATTACAAAAAAGTGTTCATAGGGTCAAGAAAGCAAATACTTTTTCTTCTAAATGAATATCCAAGCCAATACTCCACACTTTTTCTTCTTTCCTCATTTCTGTACAATGTACAGCGCAACATAAAATTGCAACGGAACGTTCATCAGAAGAAATCTATCACTTAAAGCGTATTTTTTGATTGCAGATCAAAAAATTGCAGATCTAACCTATGAGTTACTCAGGGTGAGTTGGAATGTCAGTATCAGAATTCCTCAGTAAATAACCCAAACAAAAAGCTTGTAGTGGGAATGGGCAGGCATCATCAATAACAGCAAAAAGTAACCTCTAGCAAGAGTAAATCCTGTTGAGAAACATATTTAGTCTCAGAAAATGGAACATGAAGCATGTGTCCCAGGTCTGCTGAAGCAAGAACATGGCAAGAAAGCCAGAGATAAAAGTTGTTTTGGCAAAATTGTATTCAAATATGCAGATTGCAGAATAATCATCTGATCAACTCACCTTTCCACCATATTGCTCCAACTTTTGTAAAGTAACAGTAACTTTTTCTCTAAATTTCTTGTCCATTAATCTCCTTGAAAGCTATTGGAAAAGTAAAATAAAAAGGTTTGTTGCACAATATAGTACAATATATGCAAAGAGGGTATAATAATTCTTTTTTGTTACTTTATTTCATCTTTGGAAAATTAAGGATGAAAAGAAACATTGTAACTTGTAACTAATGTAAAAGTATGGAACTTAGTCAAGGCAGAGGAATAAAAGGTTAACTAAAAAAACCAGATCTATTAGCCAACAAAAATATTTTTTTTCTTTTAGCAAACAAATTTGAAAGAAGTACCAACCTTAAAAAAAAAATCATTCTTAAAGGGCTGTCCACATAAAAAGTTAACACATTTTTCACATGCATTGAAAGAGATTTATTACAGTGGAAATACTTTAAAAAAACCTGCTGCAATTTCTCTCTTCTGCACTGGATGTCAAAAAAGGTCCTTTCATTTTGCTGTAAAAGTGCACTTTGCAAGCAGGCTAAATGAAACCATGAAAAGCCTGTCTGACAGAGGAAGGATGTCCTCAGAAGGACTCAGTATAAAAATACTTCTCATAATCCCACTCTAAGCTTATTTAATGAAAACTTCTTTGAGCAGAATTCTCATCTGAAAGAAGTGGGAATATTTGCTTATGTTAATTTATTGAAACTGTCACAGTTTTGTTAAAATGTTCACACACAAAACGAAAAACTCATTTGGTAATAAGCATTCCTCCAAAAGATAGCATCTATTTCTCCTCAGGCCTATACTTCCATTATTCTCCAGTTTACGTTAACAACAGTTTTTGGACATTGCTAGAACTTTATAAGTCACCATATTATTAAAGAAGGAAGAACTCTCACGGGGGAATATATGAAATAGTGCTTTTCATGGAACTGCTGAGTCCTCCAATGTATCTGTACAAATATTACAGGAAACATCTCAACAAAAGTACCATGAAAATACAAAGGATTTTTTACTACAGCATTAAAAACTTACATTTGTGAGTAGATGTTTAAGATGATCATTAAGAGATGGGCCAACAACAGCACTCAGCTGAACTAAAGCATCCAATCCCCTTCCAAATACTTCATCATCCGCATGGGCCTTCAGAGGGGGAAGAAAGAAAACCCTATCAATAATATTCACACAAACACACAAGTTTTTCTACACAGCAGTCTCTGTATTATGATTGCATGTAGTATTTTTAAACATTAGAACTACTGTGCAATTGCTAATTGCTATAATGTTACAAGTTTAGAAATACAAGTTTAGAAATACAAGTTTAGAAATACAAGTACAACATGCCTGAATATTAGTCTCCAGAGACCACATTTAAAAACAGAAGTATATTTTTAAAGTAGAACCAAAAGTATCCACAAAATGCCAGTGAAACTCTTGCATTTCTTCTGAGACAAGGAAACTAGTAATTTAGTATTGATGAAATAAAAAATTTGGCATGCAAAACAGCTTACTACACCAACAATTTTAGTATTTCACAGCATATTAACCATTCAAATGCAGATATGCTGACATTGGGAGACACCATTTTACTTACAAATGTAATTAATTCAGTGTAATTTCTATGTAATTGATAACAATAACTTCCTTTGTTGGAGAAACAGTGGAGCCAGTTACTTTCTGCCTCAATTCATTTAGTTCTCTCCAACTACACCTTTGTCACCTGCCAGCAATTATCTGGCTCTTATCTACTTCCAGGGTTCCTTGTCATCTTTGTTTCTCCCATGGGAAGGTTCTTCTGTCCCTGAGTTCTCTAATGGTTTAGTTATCTCACTTTTCCTTTAGTGGAGAAGTAGACTCATAACAATTTATTTTGTTCTCGTACTAAATTTTAAGTTTATTTAAACAATTATTTTTTCACTCCAGCATTTGAGACCTGAATGTTTTCTTTTTAACTAGAAGTGATAGACTGCTTGTGTAGTGGAAGGTTTAACGAGACTTTATACCAAGTAGTACAACAATAAAAATTATCAGATGAGTAACAGTAACTGAGGAACAGACAAGAATAACATTTCTAATTTTGTCTTCAAACTAAACCAAATATACTGATAACACAGAATTTTGAACTTCTGTTACACCTCTGATTTGAGATCACAAAGAATTTTCAAGCTTTCAGCAATCTCTATAAAATCAGAACTGAAACACAGCTAGAAGAACAGCTCCTTGCTGAACCAGAAAAGGGCACTGATAAATATGAAAAAGGTCCAAAAAAGATAACCCTTGAAGCCAATACCTCACTTTATTTTTAAAGGAGTAGAAAAATTAAAAACATATTTAAAAATTAAGAATATTACCTTAAATATCTTAACTGTATTCTTCCCTTTTCCTCATTGACATATTTTGATTTACCTTTGTAGCGTATTTTGAATTGTTATATGTAACAGATGATTATTTATTCCCACATTTCCATTTTACTTCACCTCATTTCTACTTTTTGCGTGTTCATATATAAAAACACCACAAATACGTATATTTATTTCTCCTTATATTCAGACCTTTAATAGAACATTTCCACAAAATTTGCCCATAGCTACTGTCATACAGCTATAAAAAGTTGCCCATTTGAATTTGCAGTTAAATACATATTTAGCTAATAAACCAAGGCAGGGTTAACAAGAGAAAAGAAACCATTCCCAACCCCCAAACCAAAACCCATGCAGTAGATTTATCACATTAATATTTTCAATGTAGTTCTCACCAGCAAAAGAAAAAAAAATCAAATCCATTAAAATCTCTGCATGAAGAAAAAGACATACCAGTGTAGCCTTTAAGACTGGAATTAGACGAGGCAACAAGGGAATTGCTTTTTCAGTAGCACCTTCAACCAGAAGTAATTCTCTAAAACCCTCCTTTGAAACAAACGTATAGGGATGTTTTGTCTCTCTTAGTCCCTGTTGCAAATGTAAAATGTGTTTCTTAATAGTGTGCCTTCTTTTAAACAAAAACACATTTATAAAGTTCCACATAGTAGCAAGATAATGTTTAGATTTTGTCAGATCAGTTCAAAACATAAAGTACACTAACTCCACCATGTGGAGCCACTCAGTACAACTCTCCTCACAGAATATTCTAATTAATTTTTCTTTTGGAGCATTGAATATTAAAACTTACCTTATGAATATGGCAAATTCAATCAATATGTGTACTTCACTACCTTAAATCTAACTACCCAAGGTATTTTTTCAACAAGACCAGGAACAAGAGCAGGCTATGTTTTTGTACCCTAAAGGAAAGAAAATTAGATGAACTATGGAAGAAAAGATGCCCCCCACCACAAACCCCTCTCTGTAACACCAAAAACTTGTTGATGGCACAAAGATGCCCTTTTAATGCAGAATGCCTCACTGGCATAACTCAAAGACTTAAAGGCCAAGGGCTGAAGCCTTTCTTCTTTCCACAATAGGAGCTTTATGTTACTTTAGGAATTGACAGGGTTTTTTAATCTTTTAAAAATAAAGGAAAAAAATGAGAGAGAATAAGCCTGTGGATATACACTTTATTCTATCTACAGCATTGGATTCATCATTTATTTAGACACCTGAAACATATTTGGTGATAAATGTCACAGATGGTTCTGAGAAGACAGAAGCCTGAGAAAACATAATGCATAGTACTGCTCTTCAACTTATTTACAGGATGCTATTTTCACTGTACTAGTTCAATCTATTGAGAAGAACATTCTTAATTCAGCAGGTAGGCTTAATATACAAAAATAATCAAAGCAATTTAGTTTACAAAAGAACCTGCAAAACTACAAATGGATTCAAGATTTCATTCAACAGTTGGAAATCTGAGATGCAGTCTTGCATTTGACCAGTATGTTGAAGATTAAACAGCTCTACCTAGCTCTCTCAGAATGCTCTAACTAAAGAACTACAAATAGCAATGCTCTTTACCATTTTCATTCATACAAGATCTTCACAAATGGGTTTTTTTTGTATTTCCCTAGTATGTGAGCCTAAATTAGTTAGCTCAAATTGTTAATAAATGTCAGTTGCAATTAGGAAATGGTTGTATGCTTAATGTTGCAAGAAATTGAGTTTACCTCTGCCAATGTTACAAGGAGAGGATCAAAGGGAACAGTTTCAGGAAGGCATTCCCATTGCAGTTTGTGCTTTACTGATCCATGCACTAACCTATGTAAAGAATAAAGTTTTAACAAATCATCATATAAGAATACATAATTTATTACTACCACTATTCCCTTTAAATGTATCAGCAATTAGTTTGTGGTGTTACTGTGTTATATACACAATCCAAATACATCCTGTTCTCCTTAGCAAAATCACGGAATCACTGAACCAATTAGGTTGGAAAAAACCTCTGAGATCATCAAGTCCAAGCTAGTATATGTATAATGGTATTTAACAGTGAAATTATAATAATTTCCCAAAACATGGCAGTTTCCAAAATTCTGCTCCTAATCACACAGAAATCAGAAAATAAGGGTTATAAAAATGATAGATGCCTCTCATCCCAACACTGAAGATGCTCCTTTTGCAAACTTATTTATTTTGATAAGTATCAAGAAACATTTTCCTCAAATGGTAAGGGAAATCAGTTGAAACTGAAAGAAAATTATATTGGAATTTATTATTTACTCCTAAGATACTGGTAAACACTATGTATTAATGATTATTTTATACAAGTAAATACATATACATTGTATTAATGATTACTTAAATTTTTGTAAAGTAATTCTGCATCCTAATAAGAAAACACTTTAATGTTTATTTTCTAGCCAAAAGTAATACCATAAACTATTACTAATAAGTATTTTTGTTAATGTCTGATATTGCTGGCAAGTACAGAGTTGGAATATTCAATAAAATCTTGTCATACTAACTACTTCACACGAAAAAGGCTGCAAGAGGTCTGCTTACTAAAATGGCAGTAATTTTACTATCTTTGTTAGTAGGGAAAAGTAAACAAGTTTACCTGGAGGAATTAGGTCTGCAAACTTAACTATTCTTTAAAAATGTGGTTTTAGTATTAATACAGCATAAAAAAAAAAAAACCAAAGACAATTTCAAAGGCATGGAAAATTGCTTTCTGCTTTGAAAAGAGTTGAGCTTTAGAAATCTTTCCAGAAATTAATGGAATCAAACAACCTAACTAAAATATCAAACATGAAGAGATGTATTTCATAATATATTTAGTAAAAATATAAACAAACCCTACACACCTGCATGGAATGCCTCCTTTAGCATATATAGCAGCAAATGCAGATGTTGGTTGAGAAGAGGCACCAAACTGCAAAGACAGAAAAAAATAGCATTATTTAATCATAACAGTAAGGTTTTATAACTATTATAAATATGTTAAAACTGCAGTTTACCAAAAAAAGAACTTAGTAATATGATTTTAAAACAAATAAAAGAAAAAGGACTGCAGGTATGGAGTGGAAAACATACTTGATATACTTACCAGAAAACTGCTCTTCAGAATTGTCTGGCTAGGGAGTTTTTAAAATGAATAAATATTGTAGAATCAGCATTCTCCCAATGGAATTACCTTATTTTTCTATTTTCTCTTGCAAATGTTAACACTTAAGCCTTACAGGTTATCTCCTTAACTGATTAAGGAGCTCTCACTTTCCCTGTGCTCTTGTATTTATATTGGTAACATGCAGAAGGCAGTTTTACTGCAATTCCATCTTGATCTGGGTATAGACAAAAGTACAAGGTGCCAAGATGTGGGAGAAGTACTGAAAATTGGGCAAGATGGTATGAGGGCACTGGAAATGCACAAGGAGGTTCATACTAGGTAAGAATCTAGAAAGAACTCACTGGAGAAGGAAATTAGGAGCTTCACAGGTAGAAAAGCTGCACAAATTTGGTTTTTATCATATAAATGGTTCCTATGCATATGAACTATTGTATTATTTATTAGCATGATCATTCAATCCTGCTTCCCTTTTTAAACACCTTATCACAAAGCATTTAAAAGGAAATACCATGAAATCTTAATTTTTATCTTTTGAGTGTTTGAACCTACATTAAAATCAGTAACACTGTGTGCATGATTTGATGACTTCATGGTTTATTTAAGTCACTGTGCTACTTGCAAAAAGATTTAAAGTAAAAAAGATGCCCACATTAAAGTATTCTGTCTCTGTTTATTGCAAACTACCACCTCACCGAAGTACTCCTGCATTTAATTCACTTTCCAAAAAGCCTGTGACATTACTAATTGTCAAATTATATGGACCAGTGGTGAGCTATAATTCGTGTATTCAATGCTAGTTCTTCAGGCACATGAGTTCCATGAAATAAACAACTCCATTCATTATTCTGCTTCCAAAAGCCCAAATTTTTTCTAAAGTATTACATATTCACAGTAATGGTGAGTTTCAAATAATGCTCACCAGCAATTAATTTGTGAGATTTCATAAAGTCTTGATGATCTTCAAGATACTGCCTGATTCTTAGTTTAATTGCATAACTGAAATAAGTTCCTCTAAAGCAGCAGGTATCAAAGTTTAAAAGTATATATATTAAAAAAACCCAACTCTCTTTAACTCTTAGCTCTGAATCTCTTTTTAGGGCAACAGTGCATAGAAGATAACAGTTACCATGCAAGCCACAATTTTACCAAAACCAGTTTATTAAAAATGTAATAAGCAATGTTATGCCTCAGGCATTTGGCTTAGAAGGTAGGGAATAGGTGATTAATAACAAAATTTTAATTTCAATTTAAAAAACAGGACCGGAAGAAGCATGTCCTGCATGCCATTTCATAAAGTAAGGAATTTTTTTCCAGCCAGAGATGGGTTTTAAACAAACAAACCCCCCATCACCTATACATACCGGATTGATAGTTTTAGGATTCAGCTTGTCACTAGGCTTTGGCTGTGGTTTAATTGCAGGTTCTGAAGAACATGGTGAAGGAGAGGAAGTCTTGCTTTTCTGTGCTGCAGTCTTTGGTTTTATTTCGATGCGTGATGACATTCTTAGAACATTGCTTCCTAGCATAGGAAAATATTAAAGACATAAAATAATTTTCATTCCTATATGACAGACTATCAAGGGTTAGAATCCTCAGGTCAGAAAACTGACATGAACAAACAATCACAAAAATCTGAATAAGTGCCCTAGGAAACAAAGGCTTATTCTCATACACCCTACGCACTGCACGGCATAATTTTACGAGTCTTGTCACTCGGTCTTTCAAATGCACACATTTCCTAACCTGCTCCCCTTTTCTTATGTTCTTTGAGACCTGCAGCTAAAGTGAATTAGCTACAATCTGCCTTTAGGGTAGCCTGCAGGAATGCAAGCAGCATTGCGGGGCTCAGCAGAAGAGCCCAGAGTGAAATAGGCTGGCTGGGTACAGTTACATCAGAAGAAAGCAACGATCTGAGGAATAGCCAGGATGAAGGAATGAAAAGAAGAGCAAGTACATTCAGGACACAAAACCCAAATGCAGAATCAGTAAGAGATAAGAATAGAAACGTAAGGTAGCAAAGAAAGAAGACATAAAATGAATTCCAATTCCACGTAAGAAGAATGACTTTTATTTTTTTAAAAGAGTGCAAAAATTACCTTCTGTATACATCCTTAAATACTGATTCAGATACACTTAATCTTCTAAATGCCAATGCACCAGCTACACGTGTCACTATATATGTACGTAATTGGGTTAAAGTGTCCCTCACACACCCACAGCTCTATAAGCCAACTGCCCTAATCTCTACCAGACTCTTGAATGTGCAGTCCTTATTAAACTTGGTTATTCTAATTCTTCCCTCCAAACAGGACTTCCAGTCACGTACTTTTGTTACAGAATCATAGAATATGCTGAGCTGGAAGGGACCAACAAGGATCATTGAGTACAACCCTCAGCCCTGCCCAGGACCATCCACAAGAGTCACACCATGTGCCTGAGAGTATGATCCAAATGCTTTTTGAACTCTGTCAGGCTTGGTGCTGTAACCACTACCCTGGGGAGCCTGTTCCAGTGCCCAACTACCTTCTGGGTGAAGAATGTTTTCTAATATCCAGCCTAAACCTCCCCTGACACAAATTCAGGCCATTCCCTCAGGTCCTGTCACTGGTCACCAGAGAGAGCAGACGAGTGCCTGCCCCTCCTCTTCCTCTCAGGAGGAAGTTGTCTCTGCAATGAGGTCTCTCCTCAGTCTCCTCTTCTTCAGGCCAAACAAACCAAGTGACCCACAGCTGCTCCTCATACGGCTTCCCCTCAAGGCCCTTCACCATCTTTGTTGCCCTCCTTTGGATGCTCTCTAATAGCTTAATATCCTTCTTACATTGTGGTACCCAGAACTGCCTCAAGGTGAGGCCAGCCCCAGTGCAGAGCGGGGACAATCCCCTCCCTTGACGGTTGGCCCTCCTGGCTGCCAGGGCACTGCTGACTCATATTCAACTTGCCATCGACCAGGACCCCCAGGTCCCTTTTCATGGTACTGCTTTCCAGTATCTCATTTCCCAGTCATTATCTAAATTATGAAATCTTTAGGATTATTTCTGTTTCTGGTAAGAAATTATAAGGTCCCAGCACTTGTGTAGATATGCCATGTCTTTATGACTTGTGGAAAGAATGACATCTAGCACCTAAGTTTTAGTGAATGTCAAGAAATAACATATAATAATGATTACCAAATTAGCTAAAATACAAAGCAAAACTAAAATTTAAAGTTTAAATCAATAGTTCTTGACAGATGATTTAATTAGAAATAGTGATTCAAATCAGTTCACCCACTGTACATCCTGTCTTCTCTTTCCTACTATTTCCAGAATGCAGCCTGTTTCCAGTGACAGTCTTTTTAAAAGAACTAGCATACTACAATTAGACAATTAAGTCTTTTCAGAACACATAAAAACTTACATGACACTTATGTGAACTATTCGGTAAAATGCACATCATTAAAACCAGAAATAATCTGAAGCCCTAAAACACAAATAATAACACAGAAAGAAAATCTACTGATTTTATGTCAGCTTATTATCATTACATTCTAATCACATTAGTTAGAAGACACATCTTTAACTATCAGAAAAATAAGAATCAAAATCATTTTATACTATAAAAACACCAGATAAGTTCTTGACAGTAGCATCAGATATTGCAAAATATTGCTATCAGGGTCAGCCTTTGAAATATACAGTTGCTCATAATGGGAAGTCAGCTTGCTAATAACAACATAAATATTTTTTATTTTATTAAGGAATAATTCAGATATAGTTAATTTATTCTATTTCCCAGGAAGTAATTAAGATACATCTCAAAGACTTTATTGAGGTTTTAACTAACGACTCAATCTAGAAAAGTAAACAATAAAAAGCGTGACAATAAGCAGGAACAATGTCAGCCCTTTGCGACAGAAATGAAGACAGGAGTAAGGACAGTGATAATGGTTTTATAAAAATGCAGCTAAGGCAATATACTGGCAGAGGTGGAAGTGGCACTGAGCACGAAAAGTAGTCTTCGTAAGCAGGTCTCAACCTTCAGAGATGAAAGCCTTTGTGTAGTCAGGAGCTCGGAAAGTCACTCACACGTGTTTGCAGAGAGATCAGACGGCTGAAGCACAGTCGTGAATCAAACAAGCCACGTACGAGGTTTGATACAGAAGTGACCCGTCTACTGCAGCCGACAGACTTCAAGCAAAGGACAGACACTTTAAATGGAAATAGGAAAAGCACCTCTAAAAGACTACTTTCAAAGGAGGAAAAGTGTAGCCTGGAGTTCGGTCCTAGAAGTCACTTAAGGCGGGCAGAACTGAAGTCAGTAGGATTTGAAAGGCGAGGTTGCTTCCTTACCCTGGCGAGCGCCAACTCTCCGGAGCGCGGCTGGGGCAGCGGCAGAAGGAGGCGAGGGGCTTCGAGCGACGGCCCCGCGGGATATCCACGGACCCAGCGAGAGGACGAGGAGGACGCCCCGCTCCCCTCGGCCCCTGTCCCGTCCCCGCAAGTCTGGCTGGTCCCGGGCAGCGCCGGCCCGGGGGCTGCGCCGGCCCCGCTCCTGCGGCCCCGCGGGACGCGCGGCTCAGCTCCCGCTCCCGGGGACGCTGCCTGCCGGTTGCCAGGGAAACTACGGGCCGCCGAGAGCCCAAACCTCCTCAGAGCTCGCTGAACAGCGGAGCCAGAATAAAGGGACGATGGTTTTTAATATTCTCCCAGGGAAAACAGGATTTGAGAATTACTTTTTTTTTTTTTTTTTTTTTTTTTTTTTTTTTTTTTTTAACTTGCGGAAAGTTTGGCTTTCAAGTACGGTGCCACGTTCCCATTTGTGATTGCCCCTGTTTCAAACACAACGAAAGAAAGTTAATTTTTAGTTTGTCTTTCAGGCAACCCGCCCATACAGTGCTGAAAGTTCCGTCAGAAATACTGTATTTATTCGTACACTGTCACATCTGAATGAGTTTTAGGGTAAATGAGCTTTTGGGTGAAAAGGGTACTTTTTAACTTGACCACAAGTACTCTACAAGGGATATGTTTATTCTTTGATGCACTCAACAACCAATCTCCAAACACAATGTTTTCATGACCTATTTGAATTATTTTGGATACAATCTTTCTACCATTGCATTCTTCCTCATTTCTGTAATTTTTACTGAAGAACTAATTGGTACTTTAGAAGTGGATAAGAGAGGCTATTCTCTTGATTTTCCACTAAAATAAAATAAAATAAAATAAATAAAATAAAATAAAATAAATCAATCCCTCCAACACCCCCCTCCCCCAAACAAACAAACAAACGAACAAACAAAACCCCACAGGAAAACGGAGAGACACTGTTGAAAAATAATTATAGACTATTCAAAAATGCCATAGGCATTAGATTTTGGCCAATGCAGGAATTTAATAATTAGTTTTATCCAACTTAAATAGTTTGTATCTGCCAATAAAGGGAAGCCATAAGTGAGGACATTTGCAGAGTTAGAATAGGGCTGCATAACTGAGTGCCGTTGAAATGCATTCATGCAAGAGACCTTCTGGAAATACAGAAGGAAAAAAATAAATAATATTGGAGAAGGGAAGATTTCTCTCTTTTTCCTAAGTGTTTTTAGCTAAGCCCAAGAGACATTACAGTACTTTGACAAAATTATTTTACTCTTCCAGAGTGTTGAAAGTAATAGAGGAATAGATATCTTTTTATCCATAAATTTTACGGACTAGTAAATAACCTCAGAAAAATCCAGTATTTGTAAAGCAGACTATGCAAGTCTTTGAAAATCACACTAAAAATGCAAACCAGCATGATCATCTCCATTATGAGAAAAAAATAACTACTTTTATGGGCAAGGTTTATTTTTAATTCAATGTTTTAGTATCATTTTATACATGTAACTGCTATAGCTGATTTGTGAGTACAGAAAAGACTACAGCTATGTTCAAGTGTGGAAGAAAGTAGTAGTACAATGCCTAAGTCGGTAGGAGGTATGAACTGCTGTGTTGTATGAAGCAAAATACCACTGATCAGCTCCATGGAGTCAGCAGCTCCCGCTGAGTTCCTGGAGGCACAGAAACGACAGGGGCGTAACAGGACAAGCAAGACTGCAGGCTCTGTGCAAGAGCAGGGCCTAGTTTAGAGTTCAATCATTTTCCTGAAAAATACAAAATAAAAGATTGTCATGTACTGCAGCGTGTGTGGTACTATAGGGAGTCCTGCTGGACTTAGGGCTTTGAATGCAGAGACTTCACTGCTCAGCTTGCAGGGAGACTTGGTGTCTGAAATCAGTGTATGAGAGATACCTGCTGATCTGTGGATGCCTCACAGACATGGGGCCCTCCATTTCATGTCTTGGGGCATTTCATCTCTTAAACTGGGAGAAATCACTACATCTGGCTCACCGTTTTCATGCAATTGCCTTCATGCAAGGCTATTTCAGCCATGAGGCTCTAAACAGGGGTAGCCTGGCTTTGGTGCTGAACGAGCACATCCCCACCTGTATCAGGCACTCAGCACAAGGCATCCCTGCACGCTTGGAGAGATACACCCTGGCCCTGTGCCTGTGTCAGCAAGGCTGAAGCACCTGATTGCCGGGAACCTGATGGATTTGGAAGGGCTTAATCCTCCCACACCCATGGGAAGAATATAGACCAAAATGATCCTAAATTTCTAGAATAGGTTAGGATGAAACTTTATCATTTTAGAAATATTTTTCTAACTTGCATGATATTTTCAGAGTCAGGAAAAGAGAAGTCCTAAGCCTAAACCCACATTCAGTCCATTCTGATTCCTACAATGTGATCTTAAAATGGTATTTATTACACTTGTCCTATGCATTTGCAGATCCCCTGCTCCTTGAGTATCTTCATTATTATGCTTAGCTTCAGATTTTCTCACTGAATATTGACATGGGGAATATGAGTTAAAATACTTGTAATAAAATGTATTTATGTAAAAAATGCTTTTCGTGCTGTGTTCACTGGTTTTGATAGTTGTAATAGGAAGTACTCTGTGACATTTAAACATATTTGGTGGATGGACGATGAAGGAGGAAAAATACTCTATGATCTACACAGTATAGATCAACAAAACATGACAAATTTTGTAATTTTCTTCATTGTGATGATACCACTTCGTAGTCTTAAATATGGAGTTATGAGCTACCATTTATAACAGTATATTTGTGCAGCTCCAGTTATTATTATGAGTTCTCTATTATGCATTTTTTGGTTTGTGTAACTTAATTGCCATAAACCTTTCTAAATCCTTGAAAATAATTAAAGACCAAGATTTCCAAAGAGTATTTATCATGAAAAGAAATGCAGGCACTTACAATGTTCAGTTAAGCATATAGAAATCTGAAAATGAAAGCTAACTCAGCACTGATTATTTACTTTTCAATAATTATACTCAAGCAATTTAAATAGAACCAGTGATTAATTAATTATCTATTACTGCTGATAAAACTAATATGCAATTTGACTTCTTTTTTTCATTAGTCACAGTTAAATAGTTAATCACTGAGGGGGAGGAGAATTCACCAAAGTCAAATGAATTCTGAGGCTTATGAAATTAAAACTGAGGCTTATTGGAATACGGCTAATTGAAAGAACATCACATAAACCAGTCACGTTAGATCTTTTTGTCTGAGCATATTTATACCTTTATTAAGCTAATTCATTTGGTATGGTTTGGGCTTGGCATGTGGCCACAGCCAGTTGAAAAACGGTGGGGAGAATATTTCTTGACAAGTGCAGGCTTTTGTATGTGGAAGGTAGGGACTTGGTACTTTTTTTGTCATCATTTAATTAATTTGGGTTGTCAACATTTCCCTTTCTATTTGTAGTAGCATTTTTGTCAGACAATAAGTGTTTTATATGGATTTGTTTGCTGTATTTTTCTTCATTTTTCTTGTATTTTCATTAAGTAAAGAAAAGTGGAGCAATGATGAGTTAGCTTCTTTGTATCTATATGGGCATAAATTTCTCTGACTCACTTAAGTACTCATTTTTCTAAATACAAGAAAGAGATTATCAATAAACTTAAAAATTCATTCATCAGACATCTTACTATATTCTTGGATATTTATCTAATAATATGCTGATTTATTTTCATTTGAGATTATTTTAGAAGTTTCTAAACCAAGTGCAATTTTAACCACAGCTGGGGGCTGTCAACTCTTGCAACCTAAAAAGAATAGTAAAAGAACAAAACATGTTTCTTCAACATATATGATAATTTCTTTTATTTCTCCAGAAACTCCGAAAAGTTAGAAATTCCCACTGGTCTCTCAAAAAGTGCACATTTAAAACTGAAGTCTAGGAGTGTTTTCCTTAGATAGTCTTCAAACATCATTCCCCAGAGCTTTTACCCTGACTTAACCACTCTCCGTGCTTTATAAATACTACTCTATAAAAAAGGAGTTATTTTACAGGGTTTGGCAATAAGTGTGAGCTACAGAACAGACTGTAGACACCTAATTGTAGTTTTCAGCTTCCTCTGCAAAGATTTAAATGCTCCAGGCACTTTCATTGACAAGGGCTGCGTCAGACGATTAGTTCAGTGCCTGTCAGAAGTTGATGGACCTTTGAATATGGCCTTTTATCTTCAGTGAAAATTGGTGTGAAACAGCATCCCTTCAATTGAACAATTCTGGATAACAGCCCATGGATTGTACAGGATTGCTTATTCTTTTTCTGTAATACACCAGAAATTACTTGATTGCCTATTATTAAGTGCTAAATTGCTGTAAGGACTTTGGATTAGGAAATCAAAGTCCTATGTAAGACTTGGAGGCAAGGTTCCAAAAAACTGACTGATCCACAGGAACTTTCAGGCTTTGATGTTGCAGAGTAACAAAAATTTATACAGGTATGACTCCCAAATTTACTAATTAATGAGACTCCTAATGGGGATCATGGAGTGCATGGGACATGGAGTATATGGATACTGTGCACGCATGGTGCTTTGGGTATGATTCTTGAATGAAGATACAAGGCTGAGAAAAATCAAATAGTTATGTGGGCAACTGCAGTTAAATTCCACACCAGACTTTTTGACTGCTCTAAAGCATATACTGCTGCTCTGAAACAATTAGACAATCCAGGTTTTTCCATGTATGTGAGTACCTGAGTGAGTCAGAGAAATTTATGCCCATATCGATACAAAGATCCTAGCTCATCATTGCTCCACTTTTCTTTACTTAATGAAGTGTTTAGAGCACTTCTGCAATGGTTCAGTTATACATGTATTCATCTTCTACCTACCTTCAATGAACTACCTCAAAAAATGGAATTAAGATTAAAATGAGACATGTCAGGATTTGGATTTCTTCCCTATTCTAACTTCTCATTTGAATTTGCTCTTTATTTTGATGATGCCAGTTGTTCAGGAAGGACAATTCACTCTATTGTGTCACTCAGTGTTGCAATCACAACTACTTCTGTAAAAGTAGTTTGCTTATTTATGGAGACAGATCCATTGCCACAAGTATAGTCATAAGAGTTAGGAACCTCTACTTCTTTGAGTCACTGGACCTAA